TTAAACTTGTTTCCGTCCGGTTGCGCACGCACCTCCCTATGACATGTCACAAATCTCGAAGAATAAGCCATCAAGCAGGACTGGACTGGATTACTTCCCTGTGGGGATGGCTGGGTGGGAATGTACGACTGGTCGCTCTAGTAGACTGCTAGTTTGTATTCTACTAGTACTTATCGCTTGTCTACAGTTGTTGTTCTAATAAAGTAATAATAATAATAAATATGTCTTACCTGTAGACTCCTGGAATATAATCCTTGGTAATCCATTGTTTGTGTTCAACACGTGTTTCACTGTTTGACTTGATTTTACACGTTGCAACATGTCGGGCATTTGTGCCTCGTGTCAAAGAAAACTATCTAAAGAAGACCGTCACAAGTATTGTCCTTCCTGCATCATTAAGGACAAGTTTTCAATGTGTTCGTGGGATAAACATTGTAAAGAATGTGAGCACTTGTCTTCTGTAAACTTTAACTTGTATCTTCGTGCGTTGGCAAAGCGGGCTGCTGACCAGCACTACAAGCAGAGAAGGTCATCGGGTTGATCCTTGGACTCTGCACCCTCCACATCCGGCCCTGGGGGTGGCGAGTCGGCCACACCCAAGAAATCAGTTGATAAAGACCCGCCTGCTGATGATACTACCCGCTTGACGAAGATCAGTCGGGACGACAGGTCGAGTGCCTCGTCGAGAGACAGTAAATGAGTAGGGACTTGGATTGGGGGCTACTCTTCAAGAAACCAGCGCCCTCCAAGATTCTAGTAGAAGACAGGCATTTGGAATCCATGGACACTGCTGTTCGTCACCAGCTACAACCGCTTGCTATGCTGTCGACAGCGATCCAGGCCCTCTCAGTGTACTTTGAGGAGAAAGAACCCCAGGACAAGGACGACAGGACGGTGCCATCGGTTCCACCTGTATGCAACGGTGGAACACGGACGTCCTCGCCCAGTCCCGATATGTATCAGGCCAGATTACTACGGCACGTCGCCATGGTTACATCGACTGCACTGAACTACCTGATCGTCATGGCAGGTCACTCTTACAGGCCCCGTGGTCATTGCAACAGTTGTTTGACGGTCGTACTAACGCAGTTCTGGACAAGTACTCCAGGGAAACCGAGCGTGACATCATCATTTCGGCTTCACACAACCTGTCAAGACGGCCATCAGTTTCGAACGCCCCACGATGACGTTACTGAAAAGAGAATGTGCAACGGGCCTTTCGTAGGGACATGCCTCGACAGCCGTCCCGCAAGAGAGATTCGGACAGGAAAGGTCGCCAGGTCTCCTTTTCCAAGTATCCCAGAGGGGGAAAGAGCCAACAGGGGAGGAAGTGAGGTCCCTTCCCCCGCCGTCTCCGTCGTTGGAGTCTCCCCCGGTGACACTACCTTTGGACGAGCTACCGGTAGGGGGGAGACTTCATCACTATGTCCACAAGTGGGCTTTCCTCAACTACCCTTACGTTCAGAACATTTTGACAACAGGCTACGCCCCACGCCTGAGATCGACGCCACCACTGACGTCATCCCCGACATTCCACACTCCACCAACGGATCGGCTGACAGAGGCCATCAATTCGTTGGTGGAAAAGGCGGCTGTACTTCGCCTAGGGATATTGGCACCATCGCCGGGGTACTACTCACTCATCTTTCTAGTACCCAAGAAAAACTCCACAAAGATGCTGCTTATTTTCAATCTCTAAAAGTTCAACGCAACATATCTCCAACAACCCAACACATTCACCATGATATCCCTCAGCTCTCTGCGTCAGTTGATATTACCGAACGTCTTCCTCATCTCGATAGACCTTCTCCATGTACCGATAGCTTCGATAGCTTCCGATAGCTTCCGAGTTCCAGAAGCAGGAAGTCCACAGTCTGTTGACATCGGCCCAAGACCTGACTCGCCTAGGTCGTCTTCAACTTCGTCCGCTGCAGAGATTGCTGTACCCCCACCTGGAGTTTCCCAATCTCCTGGTTCCACTTCCGGCGCAGCTATGTTGTCATCTGGAGTGGTGGCTCCAGCTGTCGAACGTTTGCGAAAGGTGTCTTTATGAGCGAGCCTCCGTTCATACTACACCTATTCGTAGACGTGTCATTGGAAGGCTGGGGAGCACACTTCGGGGATGACCAAACGGCCGGGCTGTGGTCGCCAGAAGAAAAGGTCCTCCACATCAACTGCAGTGATTCAGGCGGTCGAGCTCTGGAAACTTCGACTCCGTTGGAAACGGCTGATGATACAGTCGGACAACTCCACAGTCGTCCACTGCATCAACAAACAGGAAACGACTCGGTCAGCGGCCCTTCTGGACCGGACATTCAGGTTCTTCGCCCTCGTCGACGACTTGGACATGGGCGTACGCCTCCATCACATCCCGGGGGCCAAGAATGTGATAGCCGACGCCCTGTCGAGACCATCGAGGCCGTCTCCCTCGGAGTGGATGATCCATCCGACAGTCTTTCATCTGCTGACAGATCGACTCTGGTTGCCCCAAATAGATCTCTTCGCAACCCGCTATAACAACCGCCTCCCTCGATTCGTGTCGCAGGTTCCAGACCCACGGGCATGAGACCACGATGCTGTAGCGACATCGTGGGAGGGTCTAGACGCTAACGCGTTTCCGCCAACGGTGCTGTTTCCATCGATACTGGAGAAAGTTCGTCAAATGCCCAACCTACGTCTGCTTTTGGTCGCGCCTTATTGGCCGGCCAGAACATGGTTCCCGGAACTTCTTCAGATCATCGATCAGCCACCGTTCCCGTTGCCAGATCGAGACGACCTCCTTCTTCATCCTCACACCGACGACACCGGGGATAAAGAACTTCCAGCTTCACGCCTGGGTTTGCTTAAGACCTAGTTAATGAAGAAAGGATATTCGGCTAAAGCGGCAGCGCTTGTCTCATCAGCACATCGAGTTGTATGATGACAAGTGGACCACTTTCTCCATTTTCGCCAGGTCTCATGGCTTCAACACGGCGGTAGCAACCCCACCACAGGTGGCGGTGGCGGAGTTCCTAGTCTATCTCTGGTCATCTCAGCGTCTGAAAGGGTCGACGATCTCGACTTATCTGGCAGCTTTGGCTTCAGTGGTGCCGTCTCCTACGGGCGACAAGCTCACTAAATTACCGGAGTTGCAGAAGATTCTACGTGCCTTCATGGTTGAAGATCAGTCACGTAAATTCCAACCGCCGGCCTGGGACCTCGATGTCATTCTACGCAACCTGTCTAGTCAGGCTTACGAGCCTCTAGATCAGGTCGCGTTCAACTTATTGTCTGAGAAAATGGCTTTCCTTCTCTCGCTGGCCAGCGAGAGTATCGGAAATACATGCCATTGACGTCGGTCGGATTACGTTCGATCAGCATAACCATGGCAACGTCCATCTTGGTCTCAGATGGGATTTTTTAGCGAAAAATCAACTTCCTGGCCAAGATTCGAGAATGTTCCACATTCCTTCCTTGTCTGCCATTATGGGCCCTCATGATCACGCTGATCTCACCCTGTGCCCAGTTCGTGTGCTTCGTATTTACCTGCAGCGATCTGAACAGCGACGACACCATTTTCGACGGCTGTTCATACCGCTCTCAACTAATGCAAAGAAAGAGATTACACGTAATACTCTCTCCTTTTGGTTGAGAGAGGTAATTCTCGGAGCTTACGAGGCGCAAGGACTCACACCTCCCACCTCCTCTCATCCGCATGAAGTTCGAGCCATAGCTTCAGCATTAGCACTCCACAGTAATTGTTCGCTGCAAGCTATTATGGAGGGCTGCTTTTGGAGATCTACTTCAGTGTTTGCTTCGCATTATCTCAGAGATATCTCAACAGAAGATGTTGAAGGACTCAAACAGTTTGGTCCACTCGTGGTGGCACAACAGATCTCTCAGAAAAATCAGTGAATTTGTGCTTTATTCACTTTGGACTTTTTGCTCGACACTTCGTGCCATATAACAGGTTACAATAAAAGCTGTTGGTGAATGTACGCATTCTTATGGTTTTTTGTTGTGTGCAGTACTTCGGCTTTTTTATTATGGTTATTTGGTGTATGCATCGTCTTCCCATACTATATAGTACTGCTTGTATTTTTTAGTTACCTTGTATACTGCAAGTTGCTCTGTAACTAAATTATGAGCCGACCACACTTCGATCGCAGTTCAACTGACGTGTGCAGTTGTCCTGTCGCATCGATAATTAGTTGTGTGTTGAAGAGCATTAACCATGTTATTTTTAGTTACCTTGACTATGGCGACTTGTTCTGTAACTAAATTATATGCCCACCACACTTTGATCGCAATTCAACGGACGTGTGCAGTTGTCCTGTCGCATCGATAGTTACTTGTGGGTCGAAGAGCGTTAACCATGCTGTTTTAGTTACCTTGTATACTGCGAGTTGCTCTGTAACTAAACTATACGTCGACCCCACTTCGATCGCAGTACAACTGACGCGTGCAGTTGTCCTGTCGCATCGATAATTAGTTGTGTATCGAAGAGCATTAACCATGCTGTGCGTTCGTGATAAACAACTTGTCTTGTCCGTGCATCTGGTCGAATGTTCTATTGTCACTACAGGGGTGAGGCACTTGGTATATTCGACGTGAAAGAGGTCACTTCCTGATTACTTTCCCGACCCTCCTTCCAGTGTTCCGTCGAATTCTACCCATTTGTACGACTGAAAACAGACTAAAACATGGGGTTTTCAGATTAAGAACGATGTTTTATTGGTTTGTTTTCAGTCGTACGTTCCCACCCAGCCATCCCCACAGGGAAGTAATCCAGTCCAGTCCTGCTTGATGGCTTATTCTTCGAGATTTGTGACATGTCATAGGGAGGTGCGTGCGCAACCGGACGGAAACAAGTTTAATGTTTACATTCCAGCTTCTGGCTTCCTGTTAAACGTGCGACTAGAAGTGAGGGTATGAGAGATACCCATTTGTACGACTGAAAACAGACCAATAAAACATCGTTTTTAATCTGAAAGACCCATTTTTGGTTCTCTTTCTTTCAGACACTCTGCAAACCTGACACCAAAGAAGAAGTGAACTTTGTTAATATATGTTTGAAATGGCAGCAAGAGCTCTCCAAAGTCTTAGGTAACAAAACATTAAGCCAGTAAGTCAATACGTAAAAGTTGTCTTAAGAGCGCCATCCTGTTGATGATAATCTGAATATAACTTTGTCATTGTCTTGTCTACAGCATGTTTGCACTTTGTATAGTATCCTGTGATAGGATACAGTTCCAGATACAGAGGTAACTTTGTCATTTGCTTTGCCTAGGTTTCCTATCAGATCAAGTGCGTGATGGTGAACTTGCAGCTTTTATCACCTATGCATTGGCGTTTCCTGACAGTCTCATTGCTCTCATCGATACATATGATGTGATCAGGTCCGGCCTGCCAAACTTTTGCACTGTTGCCATGGCACTTCATGAGGTGGGCTACAAGGCCTGTGGGATCCGACTTGACAGTGGTGACTTGTCCTATCTCTCCAGACATGTGCGCCACACCTTCAAGAAGATTGCAGACAAGTAAGACAAAATTGTCCTAAATCTGAAAAGAGGAATTTGGTAATTGTGCGACTTGAGCGTCATGAATTTGCAGTATAATGTGAAGTATACCTTTACACTGTGTTGCAGGTACAGCCTGCCTTGGTTTGAGAGCCTGGCCATAGTGGCCAGTAATGACATCAACGAGGACACCATACACTCCCTCAACCAGCAGGTAGGTCGTCTTTGCTTGTCAACAACAGAATAATGTTGCACTTCCCTCAACCAGCAGGTAGGTCGTCGTTGCTTGTCAACTACAGAATAATGTTGCACTTCCCTCAACCAGCAGGTAGGTCGTCTTTGTATGTCAACAACAGAATAATGTTGCACTTCCCTCAACCAGCAGGTAGGTCGTCTTTGTATGTCAACAACAGAATAATGTTGCACTTCCCTCAACCAGCAGGTAGGTCGTCTTTGTATGTCAACAACAGAATAATGTTGCACTTCCCTCAACCAGCAGGTAGGTCGTCTTTGTACGTCAACAACAGAATAATGTTGCACTTCTCTCAACCAGCAGGTAGGTCGTCTTTGCATGTCAACAACAGAATAATGTTGCACTTCCCTCAACCAGCAGGTAGGTCGTCTTTTTATGTCAACAACAGAATAATGTTGCACTTCCCCCAACCAGCAGGTAGGTCGTCTTTGTATGTCAACAACAGAATAATGTTGCACTTCCCTCAACCAACAGGTAGGTCGTCTTTGTATGTCAACAACAGAATAATGTTTCACTTCCCTTAGCCAACAGATATATTTGTATTTTTCTTTGTATGTCAATACTTGAAGATTGTTGCACGTCACTCAGCCAACTGATTTGTTGCCTTTGTATGTCAATCTATAGTAAAGTGTGTCAACAGTGGTACATGCCTACAGTTTAGTGAGAATTCAGAGTCTCTGGCATGTTACATCAGCAGTTGTTGAGTTGTAGATGTGATGAAACAATGAGTGCTATTTAGTATTTCCTCTCCTGAGAATGTACTGCAGTCTACAATCTTTAAACTTCCTACACACTACACATCATTGTATAGGTGAACCAGTGTTATTTTCCATTGTGCAGGGTCATGCCATTGACAGTTTTGGAATAGGAACCCATCTGGTGACCTGCCAGAAGCAACCTGCTCTGGGATGTGTGTTCAAGGTGAGTGACTGTGACAGTTGTCACACAGCTGGTGGACCCTCGTGTAAGTGCTGACTGACCACCGTTGTACCATTGCTCACCTTCCTTCAGCTGCCAAGCTGCATTGGTCATGTGCAGTGTCATCTGCTATCTGGAAAACTACTGTACATTCTGCATAATACTGCTGTGCCCTCTATGTATCAGTGATCCTTTCTGTGTGTGCTTGCTACAACATGTGTGTGTGTGTTTCAGCTAGTTGAGGTGAACAGCAAGGCCCGTATCAAGCTGAGTGAGGATATGGAGAAAGTCACCATCCCTGGCTGCAAGTTTGCATTCCGCCTGTATGGACAAGATGGTGAGATGCTTGTCACACACATGACAAAAACGACCTACACATGACAAAAACAACCTACACATGACAAATCCAACTACACATGACATATACAATCTACACACGCCATATATAACCTACACTTGAGATATACAAACTACACATGAAATATAGAACCTACACATATAACCTACACATGACATATACAACCTACACATGACATATACAATCTACATATGCCATATATAACCTACACTTGACATATACAACCTACACATGAAATATAGAACCTACACATATAACGTACACATGACATATACAACCTACAGATGACATATATAACCTACAGATGACATATATAACCTACAGATGACATATATAACCTACACATGACATATACAACCTACACATGACATATACAACCTACAGATGACATATGTAACCTACACATGACATATATAACCTACACATGACATATATAACCTACAGATGACATATATAACCTACACATGACATATATAACCTACACTTGACATATATAACCTACACATATAACCTACACATGACATATATAACCTACACTTGACATATATAACCTACACATATAACCTACACATGACATATACAACCTATACTTGACATATATAACCTACACATATAACCTACACATGACATTTACAACCTACATATATAACCTACACATGACATATATAACCTACACATGACAGATATAACCTACACATGACATATACAACCTACATATATAACCTACACATGACACATATAACCTACACATGGCATATACAACCAACATATATAACCTACACATGACAGATATAACCTACACATGACATATACAACCTACATATATAACCTACACATGACACATATAACCTACACATGGCATATACAACCAACATATATAACCTACACATGACATATATAACCTACACATGACATATACAACCTATGGATATAACCTACACATGACATATACAACCTACATATACAATCTGCACATGACATACACAACCTGCATATGACATATAACGTACACAAGTAACATACACATATAACCTACACATGACATATAACCTACATATATAACCTACACATGACATATATACAACCTACACATGACATATAACCTACATATATAACCTACACATGACATATAACCTACACATGACATATAACCTACATATACAACCTACACATGACATATACAACCTACATATATAACCTACACATGACATATATAACCTACATATGACATATATAACCTACATATATAACCTACACATGACATAACCTACACATATAACCTACACATGACATATACAACCTACACATGACATATAACCTACACATATAACCTACACATGACATATACAACCTACACATGACATATAACCTACACATATAACCTACACATGACATATAACCTACATATGTAACCTACACATGACATATACAACCTACACATGACAAATTACCTTCATATATAACCTACACATGACATATAACCTACACATATAACCTACACATGACATATACAACCTACACATGACATATAACCTACATATATAACCTACACATGACATATAACCTACACATATACAACCTACACATGACATATAACCTACATATATAACCTACACATGACATATAACCTACACATATAACCTACACATGACATATAACCTACACATATACAACCTACACATGACATATAACCTACACATATAACCTACACATATAACTTACACATGACATATACAACCTACACATGACATATCACCTACATATATAACCTACACATGACATATAACCTACACATATAACATAGGAGTTAGTAGATAGTGTTGTATTTCCAGGCAACGCGCTGGTTGATCTGATGATGCAGACAGATGAGGAAGAGCCTCAGGTCAACCAGAGGACGCTGTGTCGACATCCATTCCAGGTAAATATAAGTACAGATATTTTCATGGACTGTTCATCCTTCAGTGGAGTCTGACTTTAATTCAAAATACCATGCTACAATCCTCTGCAGAATTTCCAAAAGTAGATAGGAAACTTGATGGTTTTATCAGAATTTGACCAAATTACATTTTGAAACCATATAATGTTTGGACATCAGGGATATTTTATATAGAGTATCTCCTTTATAGATCTAGGGAAGACTTTGGAGTTATTGTTCCGACATGTTATTGTTGAGGCCAACCCAAGGTTATTGCCTGAAAAAAGCTGTCTACCAGTTCAACAAGTAATATTTTAGGACAATTAATGTGTACATGTCATCTAAGTATTATTTTAGGCCAATTAAACATGTACATGTTATCCAAGTATTATTTTAGGACAATTAATGTGTACATGTCATCCAAGTATTATTTTAGGACAATGCATGTCATCCAAGTAATATTTTAGGCCAATTAAACATGTACATGTCATCCAAGTATTATTTTAGGCCAATTAAACATGTACATGTTGTTCAAGTATTATTTTAGGACAATTAAATATGTACGTGTTATCCAAGTATTATTTTAGGACAATTAATGTGTACATGTCATCCAAGTATTATTTTAGGCCAATTAAACATGTACATGTTATCCAAGTACAGTCAAGTCTTGTTTATCCGACACTCGTTAATCCGACAATCGGCTTTATCCAAAACAAATGATGGGAACCGATTAAATCAGTGTTGTTTAGACCCGTTAATCCGACAGTCTCGCACTCCGACTCCGACACACCTAATTTGCAACGATTTGCTGAAATCATACATTAATCAGTCTCGTTAATCCGACTTGGTGATCAGCTTACTCCATGGTCATCTGCCCACGAGTACATAGCCCCGTGTTTTGATGCGAGACGAGTCGGCGAGTAGCTGCATATTTAAATGGCTGCAGAGATAAACTTTGTGTTTTGTGTTAAACTTTAGTGGTTGCATGATTAGAAAACATATTCTGCGAACAATGTAACACAACAATAGGAATATTTCCTTTTTCCTTTTTTTATTACAACATGTTTGAATCGTTATCTATCGCGTAGTTGTCCAATTTTCGATCACGAACGTTGATAATACCTAATTTCGTTTATCCGACATACTCATTAATCCGACATAATCATATGCAACCAACAATGTCGGATTAACGGGACTTGACTGTATTATTTTAGGACAATTAATGTGTACATGTCATCCAAGTATTATTTTAGGACAATTAATGTGTACATGTCTTCAAAGAATCATTTTATGCCAATTAAACATGTACATGTCATCCAAGTATAATTTCAGGACAATTAATGTGTACATGTCATTCAAGTATTATTTTAGGCCAATCAAACATGTACATTTTATCCAAGTATTATTTTAAGACAATTAATGTGTACATGTCATCCAAGTATTATTTTAGAACAATGCATGTCATCCAAGTATTATTTTAGGCCAATTAAACATGTACATGTTATTCAAGTATTATTTTAGGACAATTAACATGTTCATGTAATCCAAGTATTATTTTAGGACAATTAATGTGTACATGTCATCCAAGTATTATTTTAGGCCAATTAATGTGTACATGTCTTCAAAGAATCATTTTAGGCCAATTAAACATGTACATGTCAAGTAGTATAGGTAATGGGGGTTCTGGACCACTTCCACTGGAGCCAGATTCATATACCTATACTGCTACTACAGAGGGAATTTTTTATGCGTAAATGATGATGCGATTCAATGATAGTCATGAGATTAAGTTAAATTGGGTCTAGCTCACCAATACCTGGGGCCAATCATTGCTTTAGATGAGCCTAAATGGCAATAAAAATATTCTTCATAATTTTTATCGATAAAGCGATATTCAACATTTTTATTAAGTTCTTCGTTCATTTTACTAGGAGACCAGACTATATAACTACACTCTTCTTGTAAATTGATAAGAAACAATTGATAACCGTATTTGGTTGGTTTGACATCACTGATATAATAAAAACCTTGTGGCATTTCTCTCCATTTAATAGTTTTTTCCATTATTATATATATTTATGTAAGCATTTGTCTAAATGTGCTCAAACGATATTTTTAATCTCCAACCAGTTCTTTGGTTTTGGCACGGAATAATTGACGCGCTTGTTGCCTCTCCTGTTCTATGAACTTTTTTTTCTCATCCTCGCTAATACCATTGGTCTTATGAGATTTTGATCGAATCTCCTGCTTCATTTAATTGTATTTGGTGAGCTCCGACAGCACTAAACGAAACTCATCCTCGGATATCTTACAATCGACCATTGCTGTCGAAATATGATCCTCAATGCTGTTCAACTTTGCTTCGGCAAGTATCCGAATATTATCGTGTTTTAATGCTTTCTTTTGTAACCTACGAGAAATGAATTTTATCGCTATTCCTGCAAGTCCCGAGACTCCAGCGGCTATTTCCATGCCGAGCACGATAGGCGCGGCGATTATAGTTGATAGTAAACCGACACCAGCTACACCGAGTCCCATGCCAGCTGCTACAAGCGCGGTGTCAACTCCGTCCAGAGCATTCACGGCTCTACGATACTTTTTATACAATCCAAGTCTCAACTCCCTATCCTTCTCTATTCGATGTTTTATGTCGCTTATTTGATGTAATCGAAATCCATCAACAGTTTCCATCTTTTCAAATGCTTCATCGAGCGCTGGATATAAACTCATAGTGTATATTACGATCATATAATAGTCTTTAATTGGTCTTGCTTAAATGTTTTGAGACTATACATCAATCTTATCAAATGTATATTATACGGCAAGAATATCTTAGTAAGAGAAATACTACCACTTTTAATAATTTGGACCCCCTCTAGGGTTGCAACGGGCGATGCTCCGATATGAATAATACTACAACGTTGACGTTGGTGTTTCTTGAGCCATTTAATCAATAGACCTGTAATATTTCGAAGGCACATTTCCAGTACATCTCCGAACAAGACTTCAATAATAAGCGTAGAAATATTAGGTATTGCACTCAAGTTATCTTTAATATCTTCAAATTCAGTAACCAAATTTAAAGTAACATTTTTTAAGGCCGGACGACTATATAACATATGACCTGGGTTTTCTGGCAGGGGAGTGACTAACACACTTTTTCGTTTTGAAGGGATATAAGCCGTGAGTATGATGCCACTATTTATTATCTTAGTTAAATTATGTCCCTTACCCATCATCGCATAAGGTGGGGTAATGACGATATTCAGTAGCCACTCGATGTTTGCGTCGACCAGAGTCCATTTATTATCGTCGTTGCGAATAATATTGTACGAAGTGTTTTTAATGAGTCTACTAACGTCGACATCGCTTCAATCTTCTAGATTACCCGTGAATGTGACTTCTTTCCGCTTGTATACATTATCGTGTAAGTGTAAAGCGTATAACTTACCATTGTAACCGGGTTTATCAAATCCTTCTGTGTCTCCGAGATCGGAAAGCGCAATTGTATTACATTGTCTGAGCGTTCCAGGGCCTGATGCATCAACCATTATTTATAATATGGAGTGTTACACTTAAGTATCCTATATGTACAGGTTGGTGTTTTACATCTAATATAGAAATTTTGAGGTCTGAAATAATACCCCGCTTCAATTTTTTATATTGTAATGACGAGAAAGATTCCGTTCTACCACTATTATATTTTTCATTTTTCACTGGAACAGATCTGAGCAGAGTTGAAGGACTTTCTAGTTGAATATTATTTGTCGTACTGATTTGATCAAGATGGATACACAACTCTTTATAGGGAACTAAATCAGGTAATTTAACCTCCTGATCTGGTAACTTGTATATTGTGCCAATTAAGCGTGTAAATCCAAGTGTAGCTGATTGGTCCAATAAAACTATAGTTTCTTCATGGTCGAATTTCACTGTCCCAGTTGCCTCATTTTGTGTGATACTAATTCCATTAGGCTTAAAAATTTCATCATTGAGTGAGCTTACGCTGTAATACCCATCAGGTATAGTAATGGATTTGACAGTACCACGTGCGGATAATAGCATTATCCTATTATTATCTTTTGCAGCATTTATATTGGTCCACCTCGGGTAATACGTTACATCGCATAGGGCGACTTCGAGTTGACCATCCGAGTTATCGATAGTATGAAGCAGTTGAATAGACTGACCATTTGTTATTCCCAGGAGTGTAACATACATATCAAATATACAATGATACTATATCATAACTTAAATATGGAATCAACCATTATTTATAATATGGAGTGTTACACTTAAGTATCCTATATGCACAGGTTTGTGTTTTACATCTAATATAGAAATTTTGAGGTCTGAAATAATACCACGCTTTAATTTTTTATATTGTAATGTTGAGAAAGATTCCGTTCTACCGCGATTGTATTTTTCATCTTTAACTGGAACACATCTGAGTAGAGTTGAAGGACTTTCTTGTTGAATATTATCTGTCGTACTGATTTGATCAAGATGGATGCACAACTCTTTATAGGGAACTAAATCTGGTAAATTGAGTCCCTGATCTGATGTCTTATATTTCTCCTCTCCATCCAAGTGTGTATGCTAAGTTCTCGTAAAGCTTTACATCCTTTGTTCCAGCGTTTAAAATCAGTAACCCATTCGACTCATTTTGTGTTAGACTAACTCCATTAGGCTTAAAAAATTCATCATTGAGTGAGCATACGCTGTAATACCCATCAGGTATAATGTAGTTTTTACCATTTATTTCTGTCTCATTATTATAACCCCTCGCAGCATTTATATTGGTCCACCGTGGGTAATACGTGACGTCACAGATAGCGACTTCGAGTTGTCCATCCGAGTTATCGATAGTATGAAGCAGTTCAATAGACTGACCATTTGTTATTCCCGAGAGTGTAACATACATATTAAATATACAATGATACTATATCATAACTTAAATATGAAATCGAGATACATTACTAATCAATCGATTATAGTAACTG